CAGTCCTTGTCGAAACTCTCTTGTGCTCTGTGCAGGTTCGTGAGAAGCCTAGATTTCCAAAATGAATAAAGATGCCCAGATGAGAGCATCCATTAACCAAAAGCTAATAGAAACAGGAGAGCGAGAACGGTAAGTAGGCTTCCTCCTGCATGCCAGCAAGAGTCTTTAAATTATTATCAAACATGAATTATACCCAGAAGATTAAGTAAGCTTAACTCCGAATTCTTCAAATGCCTGCATGTAAAAGTCTCTTAATGTATTATATACAGCTTTATTTAAAAAAACCCAAACTTATTTTTGCCTTTTGAACAGTTTTATTTTAGTTTTACACTTGAAAAGAGAAGCTGGGAAAACAAAGGATGGGGTGGTTGGCTAATGAGCTCTAAAGCTTTTTCTTATTTTGCTATATTGTGTTGGAAAGCTCTTGGTTCATATCAAAATCACCATTAAATGCAGTTTGTTGCAGTTAAATCTTGCTATATTCTGATAAAGAAGATGAGACAAAACTTTCCTTTTTGCTTTTAAGTTTTTCTTGTGTTCCTATCTCTTCTCTTAGTGAAAGACATATACAGTGAAACACACAAAACAGCACTTGCGTGAGTCACTGTAGAGATCCCAATAAAAGCAAACAAGTAAACTGTGCAGTGTAGTGTGGCAGCTAGTTTCTGGCCTTTTATTGTCTCTTCAGTCTGTTCTATTTGCATTGTATTTACATATCACCAGCGTGCTTACGACATTTCCCTCCCCATCATAGAATGGTTAGGGCTGGAAGGGACCTTCAAAGGTCATTTCACTATGTTTGTAACTCCATGCACCAAAAGCTCTACTTCCTTCACGTTCAAGGCCTGTATGAGAAGGAGTCTTCTTCCGAGGTCATTGCATAGCCCTCCTATCTAGTGTAAGCTTTTGTAGACTGACAGAGTGTCTCTGCTCTACTTCTTTCCTGGCTCTGACCATCCCCTTCGAGACTGCACAGAGCTTCAGGAAAGCAAGCAATTTCTTGAAATGGTATTGGGTCCTATTTTAATAGCAAGAAGAGTTTTGACTCAATGTCAAAAGCTGTATTATAAATAAGCTTTATCAGAGCTGTACTGTGATCAGAAATTCAGATTTCTTTAATTAAGAAATATCCAGAAGCAGTGAAGGGACCACCTCTGCTACGAGGACAGGTTGCGGGAGCTGGGATTGTTCAGCCTTGAAAAGAGAAGACTTCGGGGGGACCTAATAGCTGCCTTCCAGTACCTGAAGGGAACTTACAGGAAGGCTGGGGAGGGACTTTTTAGAAAAGAGTGTCCACTGATAGAACAAGGGGAAATGGGTTTAAGTTGAAGGAGAACAGATTTAGATTAGATCTTAGGAAGACATTCTTCAGTACAAGGGTGGTGAGACTTTGGAATAAATTGCCCAGAGAAGTTGTGGATGCCCCCTCCCTGGGGGTGTTCAAGGCCAGGTTGAACAGAGCCTTGAGTAGCCTGATCTAGTTGAGAGGCGTCCCTGCTGACAGGGAGGTTGGATTAGATGATCTCTAAGGTCCCTTCCAGCCCATGCCATTCTATGATTCTATGATTTAATCTGTATTGTTACTCTGCTTTTTATTGTCAGTTATCTGCCCTCTACACGATTCACTGAGTGAAAGGGATTAGATTTACACAGTTCAGCCTCTTGCTGCAATTCTTTCATTCATAAAAATAGAATTTGCTAGAGTTAGTTAAGGTGTTACAAGATAAGTAGGCTTGCTAGCTGATGGAGTAAACAATAAAGATATTAAAGCTTGTTTTACCACATCTTACTTTTATTTTCCCTTCTTCTGTTTTTCAGTACTAATTTTCACTTTTTTAGCTAGCTTTCAGTATTCTCTTTTTGATATGTGGAGTAGATGTATCATTGTGGCAGATTGTTGAGTGTCTTCTCTTATGCTTATAATTGCTAGCCATGCTTGGGAAGGTAAGATACACAATGGCTTCATCTTCACCCAACACAAGATAAAGTGTAACTGGGGAGAGAAACCCGCAGTTGAAGACAGTAGTACAGAATTCTGCTTTCAGAAAGGAGTGAGGAAGGTTTTATTTATTTTAAAGGCCTGGTTTCAGGTGAAATGTTCTAACTTTCGAAGTTAGCTTACATTTGCTAACAGAGTAGACTCGGGCAGTTTGAGTGATGCAGGGGCTTCTGCCTCTTTACTGTGGCTGCGGCATCAATGATGCCTGAAGGAATACTCTGAATTAACTCCTGAGATGACTCCTCATAGTCCAACAAGGTAAACTGAAATTGATACTCATTCGGGTTAGGATTCGCATGCAGTTCAGCCATTTCTGCTGTTGGTCTGGGAGTTTCTGGGAAAGCCTAGAATTGTAAGCTTTCACACTGAAGCATATTTAAGCTGTCAGCAATGTTTGCTGTTGCTAACAAGTTTGCATATTGTCTTAACAGCCTTAAAGAGTTGCTGAGAGCCAAATTAATTGAATGCGGCTGGAAGGATCAGTTGAAGGCACACTGCAAAGGTAATGGTGGTCAAATAACTAATACCCTTTGTAAGCAACTGAGGATCTGGCCAAATAAAAGTCCCAAAGGAAAGCTTTACTGCCTAACAGTCAGTTTAAATGAGGCTTGGGAAAGAGGGAAGTATCCCTGGCAGTTTGTTTTGCATGCCAGAAAGCCTCTTGCCATCTTGGCAAAAAAATCTTGAAACTTCTCTGATGTGAAACTTACTAAGCTTCCGAGAAAGGTACTGGAATTCATGATGATACAGCTTTTTGCTTAGAGAGAGACAACTTCCTTACCACAGGAGAATAAAACCCAAGAGAAAGGAAACTGGAAGAAATACAGTGGTATGCAACTTAGAAACTTAAGAGAACTTTGTTATCTGCATATGGGGGAGGAAGAAGTGCATTTGTACTCCTTCTGAATACAGTTATTGAAAATAAGGTCATCTACTAAGGTGAGAGAAAACAAGCAGATGAACCTCTACCCAAATCTTTTAGTTCTGAGTTAAGTATTTAGGATTACTGCAATTTACTGACTTGTAAATTGTTTGAAACCATTATGAATAGTACTTAAGCTTCCAGGGATATCGCTGCATGATGAAATTTCCTTAAAGCAAATAAGAAATCCCTTGAGCTTTCACTTTAATTCGCATTTAATCTATTGTGCCTCACAACTCAGTATTCCATTACGACCTTTTCTTTTTGTAAGTCTGAGCATGTTAAATTGTTTTCGTAGGTGGATTTGCAGAGAAGGTTGCAATGATTCATGCTTGCAGTTGTCTGTCTGATGCTGCTGCCAGAGATTACTGATGTCAAGAGTACAGATAGCGAAAGGGATGTTTTTCTGCCTTCTCAACTACAAACTTTATAATCTGCTGTAGTGAAGTTATTTAAAATTGTTTGGTTTACATTAGTACTTTGAGCTTTGTAACTGCAGCTGCTGAGAATGTAAATATAAGTTCAGTTAAGGGCCTGATAACCTCCAATAGAAAGGACACGGAGGGATTGGGGGGATGGTGGGTTTTTTTTGGTTTTGTTGTTGTTCTGTTGGGGCTTGGGGTTTTTTTTTGGTAGCTTGTTCCAGAGTGTCTTGCCATTCTGGATTAAGGCCAATAATTGAGCAATCCAGGATTAATTTCTACAGGGAATTCAGCCAAGAAAAACAGTTTACAAATAGTTCATATGATGTCAGTTCAGAAAACATATTTAGTGTCTTGGGGACAATCAATTCTATTTACTTATGTGTAGTTAAAAACATTCATGTTTAGACAACATATTTTACGTTTATGCTACTGAATTGAGGTTTCTTCTCAGTATTGACTTTGGCATTTTTCAGTAGTCTTCAAGGCACTATAAGTAAACACTTTGTTTAAATACTGGTATGTATTAATCTTACAATATATCTTAATCATAGCTTTTATTTTGTAGATGTATACCTTTCTTTCAGATACACTTTTTTACTTGCCTGAAATATACAGAGATGTGTTTAAAAGAGTTAGGAAGAGTAGTAAGTATTTAATGTCTCTGTGCTCTCACTTGTTGTATGTTCCAAAGTCTTTTTTTCCAATTGCATCTCTTTCTCAATGTTATGGAAATGTGTCTGAAGAGATAAGCGGACCAACTTGTGAACTGCTACAACACTCCAGTAATATCCACATCTAGTAATGCTCAGATAAGCTTAAGCTTTGTAACGTTTGATTTTAAAATATGAGCTGATCAAGATGCATCAGTAGTGACAAGTTCCCATCCTTAAACCTATGGCATGAATGAGAGACTAAATCCACTGTACAATGCAGTGCAAGTACTGAGTTAATAACCTACATTTAGGTCACAAGCTACTTCATCTTCTCTGATGACCTGTGCATGCAGGTTTTGTCTCTTCATCATTGGCACAGGTTTTGTCTGCTAATGAATGGATTAAAAGACTTAAAATATGTGTCTTGGTCTTCACTAGATGTCATTAAAGAAAAAGGATTAGAGCATGTTACTGTCGATGATTTGGTGGCAGAAATCACTCCCAAAGGCCGAGGTAAGAAGAAGGAAACATGGATGTGGTAGTACATCAATAAACATACCTACCTGTATTTCATAAATATTTTGAACTTACTTGTGTTGGATTCAAGCAAAAATGTTAATAGCTTGATATTAACTACAAATAAAACGTGAATTTGTATTGCATAACAGCCATTCAAAATCTGTAATGAGCTGTGTGTGTAAAGTACTTTTGCAGGTTACATTGTTTAATCATGAGTCTGTATTCATCTGTATAATTGACTTAATGGTCCCAAGAAAACGTGGAGTATGTGGCAGAGATGTTTTAAAATTCCAATCCTTTTCAAGATGGAAAATCTGAACTAACAGTACTAGTGTAATGAGAACTGGGAAAAGGAAAGGACATTGCATACAGATATTTCCTCTTAAGGAAATACGGCAGTTGTCTTTATATTACTCTTTTTGGACTCTCCAATAAGCTTTGGTGTTAGTGGGAGAAACTTTGTTAAGTCTTAAATAAAATAGGCCTTCAAAATAACTTCCTGAAGACCCTTACTCTGAGGTCATGGCTGAGATTTTTTGGGGTTTATTCTAGATTTTTAGTTCACAAATTCAATCAAACTAGTTTCTGGTGATTATATCCTGTTTACTGTTGAATAATCCTTTCCCTCAAACTTTCATATTTTCTTGACTAGGGCTAGGCAAAAAACTATGAATGAAAACAGTGTTCCCAGTAGACTTCAATTTTAGCCTATTTTAAGTGGGAAAAACACAGATGTGCTCTATGAAAGTCAATTATTTAGGTATTAACAGAATTACAAGAACAGAGTAGAAGTAACTTGTTAAAGGTTGGTATTAGCATATTTTCCGTTTTGTTTTGTTGTTTTTTTTTTTAATTCTTGCTTTCTTATTGTGTTTCAGCCTTGGTACCAGACAGTGTAAAGAAAGAACTCTTGCAAAGAATAAGAACCTTCCTTGCCCAACATGCCAGTCTTTAACTTTGACCTTTGTCTGTGACACAGTGTTTCAGTTTCTATATTAAGTCAATCATGTCAGGTTTGGAACGCAGTTTACATACTTAAGGATGGAAAATCATTATATTTTTTTTTTTGTATGATGAGTTGAAGTTTCTTTGCACTGCATCAATTTCTTAAATTTGGTGTTTTAATAAAAAAATTTGTGGACTTCGCGTTGTAAGGCTCTTCACTCTATCACTGCCCTGTAATATGGTGTCACCCGTTCCAGTTTTTAATAATCTATAATTTTATATGGTTGTGCAAACTTGCTTAGATTCTTCAGAAAAGAAGCATGATTAAAAAGTACGTTAACTAGAAATACAGAAGGGGAAAAATGTCTGTGGAAAATGGGATATAACACACTACTGAGCGTATCACTTCTCCTTTTCCCTGAGTAAGTAGCTGAACAGCATGAAGAAGTTAACCAGGGATCAGGTTAGGAAAGCTAAAGCCCTCATAGAATTAAATCTGGCCAGAGACATCAAGGGCAACAAGGAAAACTTCTATAGGTATGTCAGGGATAAAAGGAGGACTAGGGAAAATGTGGGCCCTCTCTGGAAGGAAATGGGAGACCTGGTCACCTGGGATATTGATAAGGCTGAAGTACTCAATGACTTCTTTGCCTCAGTCTTCACTGGCAAGAGCTCCAGCCCCACTGCCCAAGTCACAGAAGGCAAAGGCAGGGACTGGGAGAATGAAGAACTATGCTCTGTAGAAGATCAGGTTGGAGACTATCTAAGGAACCTGAAGGTGCATGAGTCCGTGGGACCTGATGAGATGCATCCACAGGTCCTGAGGGAACTGGAGGATGAAGTTGCTAAGTCACTGTCCATCATATTTCAGAAGTTGTGGCAGTCTGCTAAAGTTTCCTCTGACTGGAAAAGGGGAAATATAGCCCCCATTTTTAAAAAGGGAAAAAAAGAAGACCCAGGGAACTACAGGCCAGTCATTCTCACCTCTGTGCCTACCACAATCATGGAGCAGATGCTCCTGGAAACTATGCTAAGGCATATGGAAAATAAGGGATTGACTGGTGAAGCCAACATGGCTTCACAAGGGGCAAACTCATGCCTGACAAATTTGATGACCTTCTATGATGGGGTTACAGTACTGGTGGATAAGGGAAGAGCAACTGTTGTCATCTACCTGGATTTGTCCAAAGCATTTAACACATCCTGCACAACATCCTTGTCTCTAAATTGGAGAGACATGAATTTGACAGATGGACCATTCAGTGAATAAGGAATTGGCTCGATGGTTGCACTCAAAGAGTTGCGGTTAACGGTTCAATGTCCAGTTGGAGACCAGTGATGAGTGGTGTTCCTCAGGGGTCGGTATTGGGGCTGGTATTGTTTAACATCTTTGTCGGTGACATGGACAGTGAGATTGAGTGCACTTTCAGCAAGTTTGTTGACGACACCAAGCTGTGTGGTGTGGTGGACATGCTGGAAGGAAGAGATGCCATCCAGAGGGACCTTGGCAGGCTGGAGAGGTGGGCCTGTGTGAACCTCATGAAGGTCAACAAGGCCAAGTGCAAGGTCCTGCACATGGGTCAGGGCAATCCCAAGTACAAATACAGGCTGGATAGAGAATAGATTGAGAGCAGCCCTGAGGAGAAGGACTTGGGAGTGCTGGTTCATGAGAAGTTCCACATGAGCCAGCAATGTGTGCTTGCAGCCCAGAAAGCCAACCATATCCTGGGCTGTATCCAAAGAAGTGTGGCCAGCAGGTCGAGGGAGGTGATTCTGCCCCTCTACTCTGCTCTTGTGAGACCCCATCTGGAATACTGCATTCAGCTCTGGGATCCCCAACATAAGGATATGGACCTGTTGGAACGAGTCCAGAGGAGGGCCACAAAAATGATCCAAGGGCTGGAGCACCTCTCCTATGAAGACAGACTGAGAGAGTTGGGTTTTGTACAGCCTGGAGAAGAGAAGGCTCCAGGGAGACCTTCTAGAAGCCTTCCAATACTTAAATTTGGGCCTACAAGAAAGCTGGAGAGGGACTTTTTACAAGGGCTTGTAGTGACAGGACAAGGGGCAATGGCTTTAAACTTAGCGGAGATTTATGGCTTTAAACTTTAAAGAGGGGAGATTTCCGTTAGATCTAAGGAAGAAATTCTTCATTCTGAGGGTAGAGAGGTACCCTCAGTCACCTGTGCGGGGCTGAGGTGAAAGAAACTGTGGATACCCCATCCCTGGAAATGTTCAAGGCCAAGGCCAAGCTGGATGCGTCTTTGAACAACCTGGTGTAGTGGAGGGTGTCCCTGCCCATGGCAGGGGGGTTAGAACTAGATGGTCTTTAAGTTCCCTTCCAACTCAAACCATTCTATGATTCTATGAAGTTAAGTCTACATGACACTGTTGGAGGTGTTGCTCTTGGTACTATTTGCTTGAGAGTTTAGTGATTTGAAGTCTCTGACCTGTGTTGCAATTATTCACTCATTAATTCTTAAGGGGTTGAATTCTTCAAACAAAAAGAAGGCAGCTATATCTTTCATCAATAATTCTCTCTTCACACTCATGTTAATTAAAAAGAGTCACTATTCTCATCCAAAACAACTACTGTTTTCTAGCTTTACCATATTACTGGTAGTTTTTCAATATGTGGATCTTTGGGGCATTTTGAAATCTAAGTAGAATACAATAATTTGCCAACATAAGTCTCTTAAGATGATACATTTTAAATTATTGCATCCAGAACTCCAACATCAGCTGGGTCTATAAATAGCTGCAAAAAATAAAGTTGATTAATAGAGAGGATCAGGAAAGGGGCTCTGCAGCGAGAACATTTAATTTTTGCCAGCTTCAGTTTGAGGTGTCCAACAGATTGTGAAATCGAGGAGAAGCATAAGCAGAAACTAGCGAGCAATTAGATACTGTCGTGACTCGGCCGCTGTGAAAAAAATGAATTGACTCGACATAAAACTGCCCACCCTAATTAGAAGAACACTCTAAAAACTGCCCTGGGTGGGGCTGTTTGTCACCAACTGCTCAGAACGCCGTGCCC